AGATGTATCATAGGGCATTTTTTTAGCTTTCACCTTTTCTGGTGGTAAGCTCCTTCAATATCTCTCTTCACTTTATTACTCATGCTATCTATTTTTATTTAAACTATATTTCTGATCGATTCCATTTGGATCTCCCACCGGAGTATCAGGCCAAAGTATCTTGATCTCACACCGAAGTATAAATATCGACAGATATCCCACCGTAGTATTCGTCACACCGAAGTATCAATCGACAGATATCCCACAGGAGTATTCTTATCGATTCCATTGTAATCTTGATCTCCCATCGGATTATCAATCCCGATGGATCTCCCACCGGATTATCAATCCCGATGGATCTCCCACCGGATTATCAATCCCGATGGATCTCCCACCGGATTATCAATCCCGATGGATCTCCCACCGGAGTAACGTTATAAGTCAATTGTAAATTGGTGGACACTGAGCTTGAACGGCTCCCGGTGTCACCATTACCCTAGCGCTGATCAAGAAATCGTTATCATCCTGTAATGACCCACGAGTTCAGCTTGCCGTCTTGTTTGGTTTATTGGACAAGTATTATAGCCCTAGGCTGTCCAAGCCTGTCGGTGACCGGGGTGGCATTTCTCAGCTCAGAAATTTATCATATCATATGTCTATATACATCCGTCATCGAAGAAAACCCCGAAAATTTTTAATTTCTTACCAGGATTGAACCTGGGACCTTCGGTTTCCAAGCATACATCATACACCACTGGGCCACCCCGACAATGTATCACCGGGGATGAACTATCTTAAATCCATATCAATGTCAATAGAAAAGGAAATTCTAATTTATTTTGACAAATGTTCTTTTAATGGAAAAATAGATAGGGTCCATTAAAACATATAGACCTTCTTTTTACACCATCCACATGAAATTTATTCGAAGTTAGATTATATCTAGACCACACAAATATTTGCGAGGATTGGAATAATAGGTTAGATATTGTAGGCCACCCGCATCCGCATATATGGAAGCTAATTATAAAAATCCCCTAAGAACTTACGATAGACATGACAGGAGGTGAATTATATTGTTTTAATTTTTTATTTTCATTTTTAAATTAACGTGAAATAAAATGGATTGTTTCAAATATATCTTGCATCATTTGTTTTGCAATACTATAAATAGATTTATAGGAATAATTATACATACTCCAAATAAATAGGAATCTGGAAAACAAATAATTTTAATAATTTAATTTATAAAATCCTTTATAAAAAAGGTAAATTAATAGCAATCTATCCTAATAATTCAAATATTTTAAAGTCTTTATGATAATATAAATTTTATTATATTAAGATTTTTTAAAAATAATTTATGTTTCCTTTCAGAGGTCAAAATAATTTAATGAAATTACAATTTTTTTATTTTAGACCCTATCAATTTGACTGTCTTTAGTTTAAAATTTGTTACGAGTTCGGTCAAATATTTTAATCCCAGGTTTTAGAAGAAAATTAAAAAAAAATTTAATTATTAAGCTAATATATAATAAAAGAAACTATTATTAAAAAATATTGCTAAAAAATATGAATATCGTCCACTCAATCTATAAAACAAATGTTTTCTCTACTTTATTCAAAAGATACTGTATGTTTCATGTAAACTATATTTATTTTCTTTTTAATAATATAAAAAATATCCAGTTTTTTATTTTTAAGTTTTTTCCCATAATTTTTACTTCAAGTTTTTTTTCAGAAATTTTTTATCCCTATTTTTTCCGCAGTTTTGTCGGTCAGTTTCATTTTTCGCACTATTTTTCTCCACATCATTTTGCAGCTACTTTAATTCAGATGCATTATTTTATATATTAAGAATGAATTAAAGGAATAGCAAACATAATAAAAATAAATGTTTATAACTTTACCTAAGGAGTTATTTGCTTAAGCATATTTAAAATTAGTTTTATTTTATTATAAAAATTGATTTAAATAAAATCAATAAACCGATTCCTTTTAATTCATGATTTTTGACAACTCCTATGCTATGGGGGTTTCTCTTCTGGATTCCTTGCTCAAAGTATCTAGACGAAGTTCACATATTTAGGATAGTTTTAGGAAATCCGGAATAAAATCATCATGATAAATATTATTAAAAGTGTTCTGTAAATCAAGTTCAAGGAAGTTGGTTAGATTTTAAATTGTAACTTAGGAAATTTTTAATCTGATTGCTTAATTATTTTGGCGGGACTCCTATTAATTATCGGGCTAATTGCGATTGGGCGGATACCAATCTTTTTTTAAGTGCAATGAAGTGAGCCTCAAAGAGTATGGTAATGATATCGATTAAAGTTTTGCAGTGAAACATTTTTTTAAAGATATTTCGGCAGGAGTCTTGAAGTGGCTTCAATGTTTGGTTTTATGAAATCTTGGAGGCAAATTGAACGAAATCTACCCAGATTCTCTGATGAATTTTTATCTTTGTCTCAATAATATTCTAGATTTTCCACAAAATCTTATCTCCAGCCTCAACGTGACAAGAGAGTGGCAACGTCTTCGGGCGGACTATGGAGGTTTAAAAGATTCCCTGTGATCTGGGTTTAGAATATAATCACCGTCATCTAGATGGGGTGTAAAATTTACCAAAAGGTATTGATGGTAGGAAGGGCATCTAATTGTAAAAACATCCGCTCCAAAATACACTAACAATCAAAATCAAATATGGGTGGGGTATAGCCCAGAATATTTCCTAATCGGTCTACGACAAAAGAAAAAGGGGAGACCTGATGTAACCGCCAATGCTCTAGATATTGTATTAGCCTTGGCAGGTGGTTTTAAAGAAGGATTATGATTTATGAACCTTATTACAAGTAATCGATTATAGTGAAAAATCTCATTATATTTTTATTAAGATAGTTTAGTATTCCTGGAAAGAAATGACTCAATAATAGAAAAAGAATTAGCGGTAATGAATTAACTAATTGTAGTGAATATTTAGTAGACAATATATTTGTTATATCAATAAGCTGCTTGTGTTTTTTAAGGGGAATAAAGAATTGGTGTTATCGTTAAAGCCACGGAAATGGTTATTTGTTGAAAATTTTGATTTTTAATTAAATAAGGGTTAGGGCGAAGAACAAAAGAAGTGATAGTCAGAAGATTAGATCTTAATAAAATAATATGAATAAATAAATGAGAAATATCATTCGAACCTTGAACGTAGATATATCCAATTATGCGAGAAGTTGTGACTAATGTATATAAGCAGATGAGAATAACACGATTAAGGTCTGTTAAGGTTGATGAAAAGCAAAGACAAAGCTTAAGAAAAATATTAAATATTTTAGAAGATTGTTTATTGAGAGGATATTGAGTTATGATCACTGATTCCTAAAACATTTTGACATCAGTGTTATGGAGCATGAAAGATGAATACAAATATATTTGATGGCCAATGATGAATATAGGCTGAAAAGTCTAGAAGCTGTGGAACATGGGGCGAATATGTCTCACAAGAATAGAGAAAATAGATAGAATGCAATAAACATTCTGCGGGAGAGTTTACATAGATTTTTCGAAGTATGTGAGTAAAAAATATTTCATAATGGTAGATGAGTGTCTCAAGTGGATAGAAGTGAATGTTCGTAATGTTTATGTATCATTATGCATAAAGTTTTTTTTAGTAAATATGGAAAATTCATAGATTTATCGTGATATGCAAAGAAAAAATATTTCATAATGGTAAATGAATGTTACAAGGTGATAGATGTCTATGTATGTAATGTTTATCAATGCATAAAGATTTTTTGGTATTTATAGGTTAATAGAAATGCTGGTATTTGAAGAACACACTTTTAAATATAGAACATGTCAATTCTGTGAGAGATGGAAACTACATCTAACTTCTTTATTGTATTATCCTAGATATTAATTAAAGAAAGAAAAATGTGGATAGAGTACATTTGTCGATGTTATATTAAAATAACTCAAAAAGAGCAAGAGTTTCCAACTAAGTGATTTTTAGGAGAATATATGTGAAAAGAGTTATATGTTAATCAGTTAAGAGAACGAGAATTAATAAAGTAAGGAAATAGTAAAATATTTTTTTAAATATAGAACTCAAAAATTGATGTAAGATGATGAAAAATTAATATTCAGAAACTTTAAGATGGACCATAGCTAGAATGGAATGGAGTGCGAGATGTAGACAAGTTTAAAAAAAGGTTAGCATGAAAAGAAGATACAGGTCAAAAGGTCTAGGAGCCTTTGGAAAGTATATCAGGGTTACTCAATATTGCCAACATTAATGTGTTTCTTGTATGAATACCATAATTTTGCTGGCATCAAAATCAAGAGGACTACAGTTTTTTATATTCATGTAACTTATTGGTATGTGCATAAATTACAAGTTTTCATTCTCATGTATAAATAATCTTCATACTGAAGGGTGAGAGGACACTTGCTTAAAAATTTATTCTTTGAGAGATTTGCACTCTCCTATAAAACTATAAATTGTGTTTTTAAGAGGGTAGATTAGTTGTTTTTATACTATTTTTAAAACCTTAACCACTATTAAAGATCAATAAATTTATTATCAAACTTGTAAAAAGATTATCGGAAAATCAGAAATATTCTGTAAATTAATTCCCAATTAAAAATAAATAATTAGATCAGTTTTCACCCAATTTAAAATTTTCCTTAAAAAGCTAATATTGGCAGCATATTAATATTAGTAAAGTCCTATCCAAATTTACACTTTTAGGAGATAAGAAACAAAAACTTGCATGAAACCTAAAACATATATTAAAAGTGTGATTAATAAATTCTTTATCTTGTAATAACCTATATAACTATTTAGGACAGCAACTTCTGCACCCCTCCACCTCTCTCAAGACAATATTATCTCCCCTATAATTTTATATCATCCCCTTCTAAAATTTACTCCCTCCCCCCCCTACTAGATCAAAATAATTCTCCAATTCTAAATAAATATAATAGTTGAAAAAATATATATTATAGCAATGCAAAAAAAATATTACCAAAATTGACAGCTTCTGTGACAATACTGGGATCCCATTTGTACATAAAGAGTTTAGCTATAAAAGTTAAAAATATTGTTCAAAATTATTGTTGTTAAACAGCTTGATTTGAGTCATTTTTAAAAACGGCTAACTCAATATTTTATTAAGAAAAATATTATGCAAGTTTAGAGGTTTTGCTCATAAATGAAACAAAGGTTTGGACATCTATTTTTCTGGCTAAAATATTGAGTTAGCTGTTTAACAACATTATTCAAAATAAATAAATTTACCTCTAAACTTTAAATTGATTCGCTCTTCAGGAATACTATTACTTTGATTCAATGGTAATCTTAAAATTAAATGAGCATTTTCCTGAAATTAAAATTCATTAGATTTCAATATTAAATGCATTCAAACCTGAGTATAATTATTTTTATTTGTTAAATTATTATAATACTTCACTGTCTTCTCAATAATATCTTTTAGCTAAATTAAATACCTTCAGTTGATATTAAATATATTAATATACTTCCTCTGTGCTGTTATTTTTAAAAGGAATATAATTTAGTATATTTCTAGAGTTGAGATATATTGTTGATATATGACTATCATCAAACATTTTTATTAAGATAGAACAGTTAAAATAATTGTGCTTCACTGTGCAAAAAAAAATAAATAAATAACGTCCTTACATTAAAAGGCTCGGTAATTATAATAGGTTCTCAACGTTTAGTGCTAAATCTTATTTACACAGAGCAACGTTTGATTCTTCTTTCTCATACCCATTAAACTTGTTAAATGATATATGGGGTTTTAAGAGAGAAGAATCATACATCAATTTTTGAACAGTGGTTTAATTTTTTCAAATTTATTTAAAACTCACAAATTGAACATGCCTTTCGAAGATTTGCTAACTCAGGGTCAGGACGTCCTAATTTGCCTAAGCTTGGAAAAATCATAAACTAATGTACTTAGTCATTTCTAAAGTATAGGTAACATTTGTGGTAGTATAGACATTTTGGGAAAAAAGATTAGTTCGGCTTCAACGTTCATTAAGAAATTAAATACTTTCACATTCAACCAGTGGCGTAGCTATCGGGGTAGTTTTCGGGTTTGGACCCCTCCCAGAGCAAAATTTTTTTTTTAGATTGTACGTTCAAAAGACTTAAAAGTGACTTTATATCAAATAAATACCATTAATATTTATATTTTTTGGTTTTGATGTTTGTGAAAGGATATTATATTACTATTGAAATTATTCTGGGTAGTATTATTATAAAGTCATTGTGAATAACCTACTCAATTATAATAACATATTATTGATGCATTTAAAAAATATATTTATTATATATTATCGAAGATATGGTTATGTAAGATAACCCGGCCGTAGGCCGGGCAAAAGGGCCGAAGGCCCGTTAAAGGGGGTCTGGGGGCGAAGCCCCCAGACTTTTATATGTATGGACCCCCTCTAAGAAAAATTTCTAGCTACGCCACTGCATTCAACGTTAAAAAAATGAATACGATCAAATTGTATGTGTTCACTCAAATAACTATTATATAAAAAGTGGATTTATTATAATTCAATATAAATAAATGTGAAGTATTTATCTGTTGGACTCAATATATTTATTTGCCTTCCATATACTATAAAATAACCATTAAATATGTTTTAAAATAATAATTATTATATTTAAAAAAAATTCTATCATTTTAATACAATTTGCCTAACTATGATCAGTTTAATATGGGTAAGTAAAAATATGAGGAGCCCTCTACCCGTTTGTGGGCAAGTCACAACATTCCGAAAAATATTGCTTAAACCTCTATAGGCTAATTAAAAAGGAATGGGGCAAAAAAAGAGCCTATACCCGAGAGAGAACTACAGTGTAATTTAATTACTTTAATGGTGGGTGATGGCTGATCTTAAGTTTAATTTCTTTAGTGGAAGTTATGATTACTATTAATATTGAGATATACGGTTCATAGAATCTGTAAATAAATATGATTAAAATAAAAAAATATTTGCCTGATTTAACCCATACAATACAGTTCTGTCACTTCAAATTTTCCACCCAAAATATATAGTGATTATAATTTTTTTTTACCTTTTTGTTGAATTAAATGGATACATGCGAAAATTCGTGATCATAAAGTCATTTGATAGTAAATTTGGTCCATTTATTTCTGATTGCTCTATTCTATTTAATCGCGGTAAATTAAAATCATATAAAACATTATGCTTAATACTGTAGTAGCTGATAATTTAAGACTATTTGTTAAAAGAAGAAATGAATCATTGCAAAGTATGATATATTATATTAAATTTAATTTGATTTTTTAAAAAAATTTTTTTTTAGACAACCCAATCAAATATATCAAATCTAATAAACGTAAGGATATACTCTGCTATAACCTATTTTAATATACCATACATAGAATAGCTGAGCCTACAGTATATTACCGCTGCAGAAGTAGAGATTGTAAAGGCAGAGGTAAGTTAGTAGGTAGTTTATTTGAAGTGACACAAAATCATCTAACAGCTGAAGGTATATTTAATACTAAGATTACTTACATTAATTTAGGTAAAGATTCTAAATGTATATCTTGTAATGATCAGAATACTAATATACCCAGTAGCTCATCTAGTAATCAATAATTAACTAATAAAATAATTATTTTTGAATAAACAAGCTAATACAACCACAACAGGTACAGCCCCAAAAATTACAACCATAAGAAATACAACCAATTATTAGAAATAACTTTTATCCTTCAGTTTCAAGTAACAAAAATATTTGTATAAATTATTAATCATATTTTTAGATATATTAACAAATGAAGCCAATACACAACATTTCCCATTTAACCACGCTAACATTCGACCTACTTTTACAAGTAGATTACATATATTTTTTAAAATCATATTTATTATAGACTTGGAAGACATAATAATGCAGAAATCTTATTAAAATTACGTAATTCCAACAGTGAAAATTCAAGTAAATAAATTATATTATAACTTTTACATAATTTGATTATAAATATATTTTGACACTGTAATTTTTAGATATACAATATATTCCAACATCAAAAGGGAATTTGTGTTTGTATCATGATGGATATTTATACATAAAAGATTATACACAAAATGATACCACATATTATAACAGAAAATACAAATTTATAAATAAAATCAAATCCTATGACTCAATCATAATTAATTTTATTTATAAGTTAGATTAAGAAAATTGCATAAGTAAATTCTTATATATTAAGAAATAGCATAAGATATTGAGGAAATGCATAAGAAATATTCTTAATCATTAAAATTATTAAGTAATCATAAGTTATATTGAGAAAATGCATAAGAAATATTCTTAATCATTAAGATTAATCTTAAGTAATCATATTTATAAAGTTCAATAATATTAAGAAATTGTATATCAAATTAGCTAATTAAATTTTAATTATAAGTTTAGCTTTAAAATACATAATACATTGCTACATAAAATACTCATAATATAATTATAACAATGTCTGATTGCAATTCTTATATCAGATTATATGCAATTCTTATATCAGATGCAAGTAATTTGAATATATCAGACATTGTTTTAATTATATTATGAGTATTTTATGTAACAATGTATTATGTATTTTATTTTAATTGCTTCTTTTTTAAAACTATTATTTTTTTATGTCCATGATGTTTTTGGATATGGAAGATTCTACTTTAATTCTTGTATTTAAATTTAGCATAGTTACCATATCGATCTTTTTAAAAAAGTAAAAAATCAAGTTTTGTGTTTAATACGTTTAGTTAAAATAAAAAATGGCCATGACTACTACTAACGCCCGTGATATTTAGTGAAAAAACTAAATATCACACCCTCGTCTCGTTTATTAAATATGCTTAACACCATGTGCCCGCAATATTTAATTAAAATCATCCATTTTAAAAATTTATTTTTAAAGTTATTGAAATATGCATTATGTTTATATTTCAATAATTAACCAATTCACAATATATTTTTTATATATTGAATTTAAATATTCTCTGGGTAATGTTTCATAATTAAAATTAACTCGGCATTCAAATTTAAATAGGTATTCACTGGTTAAAGCAAAATATTTTTTGATTCCACTTTTCTACTTCCATAAATTTACTGCTATGGAAGGCACAACCAGATACAAAGGTAAACAATTTTTTTAAAATCTAATAATTAAACATGACATGAAGATATTTTATGCTATTCTAAATAATTTTTCAGTTGAATTCATTCCAAATGCTATAAATTTTATAAGCTAATTTTTGGCTTAGTTAATAGATTTTATAATATAATAAACAAATATCTTACTTCATGATGAGAAACTTTAATTCTATATTAAGTTATGCAATGAACTATATTTTTAATCATTATTGTAAAAAATCTGTTGACACCAAGATGAGGTAGATAAAATTGATCCAATTATAAGTGATGAAACTGTTTTTTCAGGTATTTTATTATTAACAACTTATAGAATCTATTCTAAATATTATTATAGATGTCTTAGCAACTTCATGAAATGATCTGGACTGTTCTGATATCTTTTATGCTTCAAGAAAACATCAACTTCTTTAGCGGATTCATAGGAGATAACACAATAGTTTACATTGCGAAAAATAAAATGGGTTGCAATGGCACAGGGCTACAAATATTGAGATTTCCTGTGCTGCTACATTGCTTCAAACAAATATATTTGTTTTTTTAAATGACAAATCATTCATTATTTATTAGGCCTATTCAAAAATAATTCGATTCGAATAAAACGAATTATTCGTAATATTTAATAAATTATTTAATAAATCTAACATTTGTCATTTCTATTTGTTGACCAACCAATCTGACAGGTGATGTTTGTGTTTATAAAAATTCTAGCACAAATTAAAAAAAAATTTATTTGCCACATTTTTTGAATCTCACGAAAAGTTTATTTTTTGAATCTCATAATAAATTATATTAAAAATTACACACACCCAGAGGTATATAAAAATATATTACATCTCTACAATAATTATTGTTAGCTAGCCTAATTATGTTAGAGGAGAATGCTTCTGATGAAATTATGCTTGATGTTAAAGATAAGAAAATTCCCTCATAAAAGAGAGCAATCATATGGAATCAATATCAAATCCTTAAGGACGGTGAAAAGGCTGTTTGCAATCATTGCAAGAGTATTATAAAATGTAAAGGCAAAACAACATCTCCTCTTATTAATCATTATAATAGGTTTCATTCACACCTTAGTAAAAAAATAATAAAATTGACATTTTTTAAAGTCTACACAAATTCTTCAAAAAAATATAATTTTAAGGATAATTTATTAAAATTATTTATAAATAATAATATATCTTTTAAAATTATTAATTCAAATGATTTTAAAAATTTTATAAGTGATCTTGATTGTTCTGTAAAATCAATATGCTCCAATACTCTTAAATTGCACATGTATAATACATTTGCAGAAAAAGAACAGTTGGTAAAGGAAATAATATCTAAAAATAAAAGTCAGATTAATTTTTCATCTGACATTTGGACTAGCCCAACACAGGTTCCTTTTTTAGGGCTAACAGCCCATTTGATTGAAGATAATTTTAAAATAAATAGCATAATTTTGGATGTCAGTCCAATAAA